GAAATTTGGATCATAAACCCAACAGAAATAGATGAAATAAGATATTAAGATATAATATATAATAAGATATAATAGATAAAAGAAGATAATTTTAATAGATAAAACAATTTGCATATCCCCTCAGCTAAACACACACACAAAAAAAAGAGTTTAAAGAAATAAAATATTTCGCTTTCGAACCACTTTCAAAAATTATTTGAAGCTCCTAGCTAAAGTAAAACAAACTGTTAATGGGCAGTGAAGGGCTGGAATACTTAAAACTGAAGGGATCTAAACAAGATAAATAGGAGGCATAAGGGAATGGCACAGCAGCTCATTAGGAACGGTTCAGAGAACAATCTTATCAGTGTAAAACTGTTCCCCCTCCGTTTCAAGAAAGCATTCATTTAAAAGGAAAATTAATGCAGAGCCTTGACTAAATTAAGCCCGGAGCCTTTCAGCAGGGATGGAACAAACTTGTTGCACGTTTGGTTTTCAATTTACGCCCCAGACAAGTCTGGAAATAACAGAACTTTGATTCACGTTAAAAATACTCCCTTTATCTCCCTGTGGGAGCCACGTGTGCCTGCTGTGGCTCCCGAACCTCGGGCTGCCTCCACTGGCACTGGTGCCCCATCCCTGGCCGGTGCCCTGTGATCTTTCTTGCTATTCCACCCTTTTCTACCAGAAGGGCCCACAGTGGAACTCTTGGGGTGTCCTGTGCAGGGCCAGGACTTAAACTCAGTGACCCCCCTTCCAGCTCAGAATATTCTACAAAAGGCCTCGATTGACTTTGTTTACTTGGAGTAAAAAGTGGAATTTTGCAGTATGTCATTTTTGGACACTAAAGCATTTTTTAACAATCTACCATCTATTTTTTTTTTCTTTTTTAACTGAAATACCTGCACCCACTTTAAATTGAAAACTCAAACATTTCATTTTCTTTTTTAAATATGGGCTTTTGCAGGAGTGATGGGAGAGATTCCAAGGGGTTTGTGAGTTGAGTTTTTATTTAGATAAGCTGCCCATGGCCCGAGAGGTGATTAAAGCTTATCCCCACCATCACCTCAGCTCCACAGCCAGGGCTGGGACATCTCATAAAGAGCATCAGCAAGTCTAAATCTTGTATTCCCAGGGCATGGGAAGCAGGGAAAATTATCCGCCCTGTCAGAACCTTCAAACATGCAGTAATTCCATAATCATTAAGTTCCTCCAGAGCATTTATCATAATAGATATTGTGGCATTTCGTCCCACAAAACCCGTGAGGAAAGCAAAGCAGGCTGCACAGAATCCTAAGGAATGACAAATGCAAAAAATAAACATATTATTCTTCTCTCCTGAAAGTTATTAATCCCATTTTAATCCAAAATTGCTTTAACAATAATATATCCCCAACCTTCTTCTTTCAGTGAAAGCTGCTACGATTGACAAACATACCAGAACTTGATCCAGAATTAATTAAAGAAAAAGTGATAGGAAACAGTATAACTCAATCACTGCACTTTATGAACAACCCATAAAGGAGCCAAAATCTTTAGCTCTCTGTGTATTACCATTAAAAAGAAGAATGATACATTTATTACACTAATTCTCTGAGTTACTTGAGGAACCTACACAGCTCTCAAACAATATTTAACCCTGGTTTGCAAGGACAGAGCACCATAAAGGGCTAAAAGAAGAAAAAAAAAGCCCCCTGAAGGTCTCCAGTTTCTTCTTTCTTTATAGCTAATGGATGGTCTTAGAGGGCTTTGCCAAACATAACAATTCTGTGAATCTCAGACTTTTTTTTCCATTGTCAGAGAAATCTGTTGTTGAGTGTGTTGATAACTGAGAAATTAAAATGATATCCAACCTTGTCAGGATTCAGTGACTTCACCAGCAATCACATCTGCTCCTTTTCTGTTAGTCCTCAGGTACATCCTGCTCCCTGTGGATCTGTGTGACCTGACACCCAGATTTTCCAGGAGGCAAGAGTTTGAGTGACAGTGCAGATAAAGGGGCTGGGAGCACAGCACAGCATCCAAGGGGACCCCACCCATGCCTGTTTGCAATTAAACCAGCTCCAATCTGCTGAAAGTGCTCAAGGTAACGCAAGTCCAGCAGGGTCTGGCCAGGTGGGGGGACAACCAGCCCAATGGAAAGATAATTAGCAATATTCATTTCCTAGGGCCTGCAAACCACAGGCATAAACAGTTCCAGGTGTCCCCATATTTCCAGTTTCTTTGGACGTGACTGGTTCAAAAAGGACCTAAAGAGACATAGTAAAATTTTGTTCCAGTCACAAAAAAATCTGGGTTTGATGGCTCAGATGTGCCCAGTGAGACTGAAATAAATCACTAGAAGCATAAATGCCTTTTCAGTTTATTTTTGCCCAGCCCACTGTGACACTAATCAAAGCCCAACTCTGAATGACAATTTATTCTCAATTAACAATCATTATTGTTATTTCAATATGAAAAAAAAAGGAATTTTCTTATTTGTGGGGATTTATTGCTAATGTCTCACCTTGGGAAACCGCAGGTTTTCTGGGAGTTAAATCGTCATTCAGGGTTGTGCTTGGATTGTCATTAGTTCTGGACAGCCCAGACTTCTCTAATACAGTTTTTATCCATCCAAAAATGCCCAGAATTCTTCTTAGCCACAACTCACAGGAGAGCTGGCACTTGCAAAGCTGATGCAGAATATCCCTAATCACAGGATTACCAGTGGGCACCTAATCAGCTGCGGGAATATCAATGCAGTGAGGGGGAATCCAGCTGTGTCCATTCAGAAATCATTTAAATAAAAATTGTACAAATTTTACTTAAAGAGCCATTAGCAGCACTACAGAGCTGAGATGGAAACTGTTCCATTTCCAGGCACATCGTGTTCAATGGGCAAAATTAGCTGGGAAATAGCAAGGATTAAGGAACAATCCAAGCACCTGCAACTCGAACAGCTCATAAAAATCAATTATTCTATAACTACTGATTAATATAATTTAGTTCAACCTTTGGGATACCTTCAGTCTAATATCTCAGGAAACCACTGAGAAAAGAAAACATGAGAAAAGAGTTTACTTCAAGTATACAGCCCAAATTTATCCAAATATTTGAGACTGAGAACTCTGGTGAGTAGGTCTCAGACACTTGGAACTTCACCCTTCCAGCCCTATTCTAATTATGCTGAGAAATTATATTAATCCTTGTTAAGTGGAAAACTTCCTCTTTCTTTGAGCAGCAGTTTTTTGTCCCCTTTGCATTTCCACCCCCGGTTCCCCACGTTCCTTCATTCCAAACAGTGCACAAAAGGAGTAGTTTTGTGGTGCTGAAATCCAGTACCAAACCTGCTTCTCTAAGCTCAAAGGAGGAGGGTAAAAATAAATATACAGTGCCCTGGTTGGAAAGAAACTGGTGAGGCAGACAATAAACACATAATAAATCCCAAAGCTGTTTGACAAGCTGGAAGAAAGTAAGTTAATGTTCTGGAAAAGGTACACATTTATTCCTGGATTATCATCGGTCTTCTGGATCACAGCACAAAGATTATGGAGGACAAACAGCTGTAATTTGGGGAGGTAGTTTGTGCTTCACACCGGGGTTTATCCTGCTCCTTGTTTTTTTTGGCTGGATACCAAAGGGCAGCTGGGGAATCCGGAGATGAAGATTCAGGAGTGACCACAGAATATTGCCATTTCCTTTTTAATCATGGAAATTCCGAGGAACTGGAGGAAATTCAATTTCCTCAATGTCATTTGATTTTTTTCTGTTTGCATGTAAAAATACCTCCTGCTGAGGCCTTTCTTAAAAACGAAGATAAATTTAGAAATATTTGACACAGCTCATGCCGATTTCTGCGGCCACTTTGTTAGAAATCCTTTGTTATTGTTGTTTTAATATGAAACAAAGATATTTTCTTTTTTATGAGGGTGTATTGTTTATTTCTCACTCAGGAAATCCTAGGTTTTCTGGCAGTTCAACTCCCAGTGCTACAGCTGAGGGCTCGATTTGTTTTACACTATTTTGGAGAGATCTTGGGCTTCAAACCAAACTGTACACAACAACATCGACATAAATACCATCTTTTACCTGCTAAATCAATGAAAATCCTTCTTCAATTGCTTAAAGATGAGCTCTTTTGACCAAAACCCCCTTCAAAATACTGCACACTTATATGTGAGGGACCTTAAAGCCCATCCAATCCCAACCCCTGCCATGGACAGGGACATCTTCCACCAGACCCGTCCAACCTGGGCTTTCTGAGCAGACCCTGGAGCTCAGAGATGGAAGAGGAGATGGGGGAGGACAGCTACTCACTGCTGCTTGTGAAATCAGCTGGCTGGTTTCATCTCTGAACAGGCTCTGGAGGAGACTTCTGCACTTCCCATTGCACATGAGGAATCCGCTCCACCTTGCTGATTTCTGGGAATGCAGCTGGGAGAGGAGACAGGAGACAGAGTGGCCGTCAAAGGTGATAATTAAAAGAAATCTCCCCCAGAATCTTTTTGCAAGAGTGCAGGACCACGTGGACCGTTGTGAATTCATTATCCTAATTCACAATTACTGACCTTTTGTAAGTCTCTTGTGGTGCTGGTTGTTGCCCTGATACTTTCTGAGTTATATCAGGTCACCAGCAGTTTATGGAAATAGCTCCTGTAGCCACAGTATAATATTTAGAATTCCTGCTGAACAGGTGGCCTTCACATGGGAGTCACTTGGGAAGAAAACACTGGTTTTACCAAAGAGTGACAAGGGAACTCCACCTCTCTTCATATCCAACGTGGCTGATTTCTCACTATCCAGCTCTAATATTTCTCTCTCATGGAAGGTCTCTCTGCTCAGTTAAATCCCAGCAACCACATTTTCTCCTCTGATGCATTTTTCTGTTTTTATTTTCTGGTGCAAGTCATTACTTTTAAACCACTCATTTGAAAACACTCAGGTCTGGTTACATCATCATAAGTAGTTAATGGGAGGTGACACTTTAATGCCATCATTTACCATTTATTCCCATTGCAATGACATGTCTCTGTCTATTTTTTGGCAAGATGGGCAGTTACTGGGGAAAAAAAAAAGCTGCAAATGCAGGACAAACTGACTTGAGAGGGCAAAGAAATTCCTCTATTCATTACTCTTAATTAAACATGACACAAATTAGAGGCAGAGCTCCATTTACTGCACCTCCTGGGCTAAAGTCAGGGAGTTAAACCTTCGCCTGCAATCCCAAAGTTCCAAAGAAATACATAAATTTAAACAAAATATGACAACGTTTTCACCAAGAGGAGTCAGCTGCCTTTATATGGAGGGAGAAATGCTTTTATTTCTCCTGCTTTCCCCTGGCCTTTGAAGCCAGTTTTCCCTCATGATGCTCCTCTATGGAATGACTGAACTGGGAAAATAATTTAAACTTTTTTTTTTCCCCAGCTTTCTCCTGCCCCTCTTTGAAAATGGCATCCCTTAAAACAAAGCCTCTCAGCAGAACCTCAAAGGAAGAGACAGGGGGAGGCTGGTTTCAAATCTTTTTTTGAAAGGCAGAGATTTTGAAGTATTGATTTTTGATCGTTTTGTCCTTCATCCCAGGCTTTTTGTCACGGACATCAAACAGGATGGCTGTGCCTTCTGCTCCTGCTAACTGGAGTCTGGGCAAATTCCTGTCGTCTTCTGAAAGCTGCAGAGTGAGAAGGAAAATCAGAATAAAAACTGACCCCAGAATCCTCTGTTAATTTTGTTATACACAGCCAAATCTTACTGAGATTTGCAAGAGTTCATATGGGAGGGTTCTTAACGTGTTATGGTATGGAGAAGTGCTTCAACTTGTTAAATCCATCAGAAAATGCAAGTCAAGCAGTATTTCTTTGGGTGTCCAAAATAAAATAAATTTTGAAATATTTTCTCTTTTTTTTCCCCCCCTTTCCATTAATAGAAAGAATTCAGACCTGAACATAAACTTTCTTAGTCACACTTGGCTTCTATATGTGTATTTTTAAAACCAGGTTGGATGAATATTAATGATAATTAACTTGAAATTTAACCCCTTTCTTGGGAACAGTGGAAATCACCTTATAAAGGAAAGATGTTCCTAATTTATGCCCAGGAAACTGAGAAGCAAAGCCTTTCTTGTTGTTCCCTGCAAGCAGTGTGGGGAGTGGTGACACTGCCCACACACCTGTGGGTCTCCAGATCCATCCCACGTCCTTCAGGCTTTGAGTCTGTCAGGTCTGGGTTTTATAGCATGAATATTTCCCACAATAATTCAAAATCTTTGCAACTACCTGCAGTGACAACCTCCCTGGAGCCAACCAAGCACACCCCCATCCCTTCCACACCGGCCCCACCCAAAGAACATCTGCAGTTCTGCTCCATCCCTTTCACACCTGCAGCAAAGTGGGAAAGGAAAAGGCACAAAGGAGGTTGCAAAAAGCTCAATAACCTGCACCTTTTGGTTGTATAGAACTGTGGAATGGTTTGGGTTGGAAGGGAGCTGAAAGCTCATCCCATCCCACCCCATGCCATGGGCAGGGACACCCTTCCAGTATCCCAGGTTGCTCCAAGCCCTGTCCAACCTGACCTTGGACACCTCCAGGGATGGAGGTGCTGTCAGCTCCCACCATTTCCTTTCTGCTGCAGGGATTTAGTTCTGATTCTAAAAGGTCTCTCTTGTTCCAAGTCCAAACTCAGAATGACCAAAGCCACACCAGAAAATCAGCCCAGGGACCGATGGACACCACAGCAGGGCCACGTGGCTGCCAGCACTGCCTTGTGCCAGCTCATCCAAGGGATGAGGCTGGACAGGCAGCAACTGCTTGGAAAGCTGGCAGGATGCACAGAAATACCTTGAATCCATCCCAGCTGGCACAAATGAGGGGAGGGCAAAACACCAGCTCAGTGGAAGCAAAGCAGGACTGGACTCGAGTGAGAGTAGAGTCGAGATTTCTCCATGGACATAATGAAAGCCAGGCTGGGGATGCTCTGAGTGCAGTGCCCAGAGGATCCACGACTCCCCCAAATGAAGCTGCAATTTGGAAGCTCCCACAGCCTGAAGAAGAGCAAAGCAATTCCAGAAACTCGGTTTAAACAAGCTCAAATCTGTCCTGTGTGTGGTGCCAACTTCTGCTTACGCATTCCTGTTCTGCACAAAGGCAAATAAGAGCAAAATCTGGCCCCAAAACTGCCAACAGCCCTCTGAATACTAACTTAGGCTTTTAAAATACCCAAGTACGTACAAAAGCACAGCTCAGATCTGCAAAACAACCAGAACTGGCTTTCAAACGCCTGCACTCTCTCTTCTCTCCCTCCCCCAGGCAGACCACGGGTCCTCCATATGGCCAATGCTCCACCACCAGAGCAATAACTCAATTTTACCTGTGCTGGTGCCAGCACTCCCACCCAGCCATGCCCTCTGGCACAGGCTGTGGTGTGGATCGTGGTGTCCTCCACCCAGAAGCTCCTCAGGTGTCAGCAGTTTCCCCGGGAAGCAGCTGCTGGCTTTGGGAGAAGTTTGGAAAATCGTGGGGTTTTGCCATATCTTGGAAAAGGCTTTTTTTAGAGTTATTGCAGGCTGCCTGACAGAGCCAAAATCCTCATGGGCGTGTTTGCAGAGCTGGAGTTGCCATGGAGAAGGCAGTGGCCGGCAGGTTGGAGCACTGCAGATGGTGTGAGCAGCACGGGGAGCCCCTGCCAGGCTGGCTCGCGAGGCAGGGCTGGAGTGGGAACACTGCTGGACACAGGGAGGCTGAGCCATGGAATCACAGCATCTCCTGAGCTGGAAGGAACCCACAAGGATCATGAGTCCAACTCCTGGCCCTTCCCAGGACACCCCAACGACCCCACTCTGAGCCTGAGACCATTGTCCAAACAACATCCTAAGATCTGGAGTTAGGGGTCCATCCAACACCACCGGAATTCCCGCAGCTCCCAATCCTTTTAACATTGACTGCAGTGGGATAAATAACCTTAGGATAGAACAGGAGTACCCCCAGAGATGTGACTCCTGAGCACCAGATATCCATAACTCCACGTGGAAGTTTGAGCAGGATGGAACTGATGTCCTCTCAAACAGGCTCAGAGTGGTTGAATCACTCAGGTATTGAAGTCATTTTACTCCTGGAGACCTGGTCAATCCCACAATTCATTTTACAACCAATATATAACATTTTGCCTTTCGTGAGTAGCTCACAGAATCCCACTAAGAACTTGGGATCACAGTAAAATATTTTACATAGCCAAAATGTGTACTGTGTCATTCGCATCTTAAAATTTAGGATTTTGATGGGCAAGCCTCATTTTTTAGAGACAACTGCTTCAAAGAAAAAGTTTGGTTTACAGACTTCTATTTTTTTTATTACTATTATTATTATTATTATTATTATTGTTATTTTGTACAGGTCTTATCCCTTAGCACTTTGTATCAGCAGTTATTTTAATTAAACTTCTCAAAGACTCATTTCATGATTTTCATTAAATTCAGTTCTTTCACTGAACCAGTGCCAGCTCATGCTTTTAAAAAATTGATGAGCACCTCTTTGAGATTTGTACACCAGGCAGGAGCTGTGCAGCAGCCTGAGGATTGTTCAGTCCTAACACAAACCCTGACAAAAATTCATTAGCTCATTACAGCAAGCAAAATTTCCAGGAATGTTATCATACAGGATAGCAACTTGCAAGGCAATTAACCAGCAATTAATTACCTGAAAATATATTCTCTTGACCACTTGAGAATGGGTTGACTGCTTATTTTGAATATTAAGCAAAGAATAATGCTTTGAAGCAGCTCCAGAGAACCCTTTTACAGACACCAGTTCCTCGGGAAGGGCACAAGATAAAAAATCTCTCTTCCCAGTTTTACTGAGCAATGCAGGGTCACAGCAGTGACCACGTGCAGAGTGCTGTGCAGATAAAATACCAGCCCTGCACCTCTGACTGGGCACTGGCACGCCAGGCTGTGTGATTGCAGACAGACCCTCGTGGATGGAATTAACCTGGACGTCTTGTTTTGTGTCCCTGGCTTTGCACATGACGCTGCTTGTGAATGAGGGAGCATCGACTTCAGCAGTGAGATGCATTTTAGGGCCCATTTGAAAGCTGTGGAACATGAGCATGATGCACATTAACAAATATATCATATATCTTACCACCACAGCTCTTCTCTCCCGGCTTATTTTGCATTTCACGTTCGTCAGTGAATCAAGTGGAAGCAGAAGGTTCAATCCCCGGAGCGAGCAAATGTCCTATGGAGTAAAATACACACTTTTAGATGAACTTGTTCTCTCTAGACTAGTTCCTCCAGAGGCAAACAAACTGCAGGGGAAATTCCAATTCCATTTTGGCTGGGATGTGAAGCCCTGAGAAGGGAGCAGGAGGATTCTCCCTGACCTGTGGAGCTCACGTTTGCCGCGGCTCTGCCGGGCGGGCGAGGGGAGACATAAATTCCCTCTTCAGGCCACTTGGCAGAACTAATCTCTTTTAATCTGCTCTCTTTATGGCACCTCTCTGGGCTGACAAAACCCCGATTTATGGACTGTCAGGAAGGTCCACAAGGCCAATATCTTTCTTCAGGAGTTCACTTTCTTCAGTGGGAAGGGAGGGGATTTAAAGGCAGCATTTCCCCCGCTCAGACTGGCAGTGTGACACCAACAGGGTTATTCTAAAGCCATAAAAAATGGACACGTGCAGGGCAAATTAATCAAAAATTAAGATGCTGATTTGTTCAGGTGATGCTCACAGCATGGAAAATTACATCTAGAAGTGCATCCTTTTGCTGGGAAGGTGCTTGTCCCCCCAGGACCAGTGACCCCACGGCAGACCCAGGGACCTGTTTTGCTTCATTTTCTATAAAACTAATTAGAATCATTCCCATGTGACCTCATTCAGCACCCTCCCCTAATCCAGAGTGAAAGGGAGAGACACATTCCAGGTCTTTGTGACAGTTTAACTGATTAGTCCCAGGGCTCCAACTTTATTGATTCCTCCCCAGTGTGGTCTCCAGGGAAGAACTATGGGCTCTTTGTGGAGCAGTTACATTTAGAGCCCTTGAAGACTCAGAGGATAAAAATAATTACCTTTGATGCTGAAAATCTGTTTCTTTTTTTCAATCTGGCAACGCTGCCCCAAAATAATTAGTTAAGAAACATATTATTTATATAAAATTAGTACCTAAATGTCTTCAATAAGATATTCATTAGCATAATATTGTGAAGGGAAATAGATAAATATTAACTGATTTGGCAAAACCAGATAAAACTCAACAACTGTCTTGACCTGAAGGGAGCCTACAAGAAAGATGGAGAGGGAAGTTTTACAGGAGAATGGAGAGAAAGGACAAGGGGGAATGGCTTCAAACTGAAGGACAGTAGGTTTAGATGGGATATTGGGAAGGAATCCTTCCCTGGGAGGGTGGGCAGGCCCTGGCACAGGGTGCCCAGAGAAGCTGTGGCTGCCCCATCCCTGGAAGTGTCCAAGGCCAGGTTGGACGGGGCTTGGAGCACCCTGGGCTGGTGGAAGGTGTCCCTGCCCATGGCAGGGGTGGCACTGGGTGGGCTGTGAGGTCCCTTCCAACCCAAACCATTCTGGGATTCTGTGACTTCACAGGCCATAACTGAGTTGCAACCAGACCAAGGGATTCTTCCCAGGTCGCACACACAGGAAGAGGCAAAAACAGCACCAACATTTTCTGGACCAATTCAGTGCTTTTACCCATGAGCTCATCCTTCCCCTCCTAATTCCCAGAACTACCCCCTCAGACCCATGCAGTTACACCACGTTTACCACCTCACCCAAAGGATTTCATTGAATTTAAGCTGAAAAATAAAATAAAATAAAATAAAATAAAATAAAGATGTTCACATGCACACAAGTGTCTGCAGGACTGGTCCCTGAATGAGAAATCTTTTCAAACACGTATCCTGGGAGAGGAAAAGAATTTGGATCCCTCCTTTCTCCTCCATGTAAACCATAAACACAAGATAAAAGCGCTGCAAAGCCTCGGTGGGGCTCGGAGGCGAAAAACGATCTGTTTTGCTCTGCCGGTTTGAAAATGGTTTTCTTGATGAAACTCCTGAGTCTGCTGGAGACTGAGACACAGATGGATGAGCTGAGCATATGATAAACCTGCTGCATGAGTTTGTAGTTAATTGCCCATCATCTTTTTTGTCTCACCATAAAAAATTTCCCGCCCACCTTGCCCGGCAAAGGTAACCCGAGTGTCACAAACCATTTGTCTCCGGCGCTCTCCGATCGCTCTCGTGGCTGAGTGCTGTGGAGAACAGGACAAATTTGCTGAGCCTTTTTACAGATGAAGCACACTGCACCTTTTATCAAACCATCTCCAGCCTCTAATGAGAAGAAACACCTTCCAGAGCCATTTGCATAGCAATATCTTTATTTCTAAAGCAATAAACAGGCTGTGACTCTCAGAGCCGTTAGTCAGCACACAGACACTGCATTTACATGAGCCAAGGGTGGAGAGGAGCCAAGAAGCCACATCCTCTTCTTATGGGCATGGAAGGGGCTTTGGGCTGAGCAGAAGGAGGGGCTGAGGGGTCCAGTACGAGAACCATTACATGGGTGGGGAGCCCATAAAAGAAGCATCACTGAAGTCCTGTGCAGGGTCAGGAGTTGGACTTGATGATCCCTGTGGGTACCTTCCAACTTAGGATATTCATGGAATCATGAAATGGTTTGGGTTGGAAGGGACCTCAAAGCCCATCCAGTTCCACCCCCTGCCATGGGCAGGGACACCTTCCACCAGCCCAGGCTGCTCCAAACCCCGTCCAGCCTGGCCTTGGACACTTCCAGGGATGGGGCAGCCACAGCTTCTCTGGGCACCTTGTGCCAGGGCCTGCCCACCCTCACAGCCAACAATTCCTTCTCAATATCCCATCTAAACCTACTGTCCTTCAGTTTGAAGCCATTCCCCCTCGTCCTGTCACCACAGGCTCTTGTACAAATTTCCTCTCCATCTTCCTTGTATTTCTCCATTCTTTCTGGAATCCTTGTCTATGATTCTATGTCCTCTCCCTGCCTTCACAGCTCCTCTTGGGAAAACAGCTCCTTTCTCCTGCAGGAGCCAGGGTGCAGGGGTGGTGGTTGGGCTTGAGAACAGGAGCTGACACTGCAGATACCTTCAGTGCTCCTCAAGCCTGTTTATCACTGGAGAATTTCTCTCTCTCTCATTTTTACTGGGGGACAAAATATTGCAGGGACGGGTCATTTCAGGGCACCACAGCCTCACTCTGAGCAGCCAGAGAGACAAAACACTCTCTAAACACCACAATCCTGAACCTGCCTTCAAAAAAAACCTCCTGTTTTTTTGCTTGGATGCCACAGTGCAGAAAGGCTGCTCTTCCCTGCCACAGCTCCAAGGCAAACAGTGTCACTGTGCTGGGGTGTTGGGCCTTCCCTGCCTTCCAACATCTCTGCTCAGCTGAGCCGAGTGACTCTGGTGGGCAGCACCCCTCCAGCAAAGGAGAGAGGCAAAAGAAGTCCCCCTTGCACTGAGTCACTTCAGAGCAAACTGAAACCTCTTCTCCACCCGAGTGGTGCTGCCTAACAGGCCTCTGGAAACCACCAAAACGTTTAGTGATGGCAGAGCTTCCCCAGGAAGCAGCTTTTCCTCAGCAATCAGCTCCTCGGAGCAGCAACGAGCAAAGTCTAATGGGCAGTTAAAGGAATTAGCCCCAGTTTCCCTGGTGTGCTTTACAGTGCACGGCCCTGATTTACAGAACTTAAATCTTGGCCAAATAGATTCTCTCCCTGTTGTTCTCACAGCACAGATCCTCTTCCTTCCCACAGCTCCCCTGCCGGGACCAGCAGAGAGCAGGGAGCTGCCAGCACAGCCCTCATCGCTCTTGAGAAGCTTCTGGGAACAGGCAGGACTCTGCTGAGCCCCTCAGCTTGGAATTTGCTGAATATAAACAGAAATGGCTCTCAGAAGAGGAACAAACTCTTCCAACAGTCACTGCGTAGCCCATGCTGAGGCACCAACACCACCACTCGAAACCCAAGTGGGACTTCTGTTTATTTTACTGACACCTGTATTTATTCTATTTAGTTATATTGGTGGCTCTCCAGAGGGAACCACGCAGAAAGTCTTCACCTGGCCTAATAAAGTTGATATTTTCTATGTCTGTGAGTGCAGACGTGTTTCTTTGATTTTGGTGATTTATTTGTGGGTTTCTGTCCTTACATCTCTTAGCACATTAAAATGTCATCCATTGGCACTGCCTGTTTGAAATGTCACCTCTGTTTTTAGCCTAAAATGTAGTTTGGTACTGTGAAGATATAATATTATCTCAGGATATAAATTATATTTATCTAAGAGGGTGACTATGATAAGCACTTGATAAGTGCTGGAATTATTAAACCCAGTCCTGCCTTGTTATAAGGTCAAGAATTGAAATAATCCTGTTAGCAAGGAAATAGGAAACATATCTCTCTCTCTCTCTCAGTTCCTGTGGAAGTGCTTTAGAGATGCCCCCTTTTCCCCATGGATTTAGGAGGAGCCGTTCCACGGGATCTGTTTTCCTTTCTGACCACATTAAAACAAACATTCAGTGGAAGGAGTTTGCTCCCCATCTCCTTCAAAAGGCTGCCACCATATGGGGGATTGGTTTTAATGCACGGCTCGGGTTTTGCAAAGAGACGTCCCCGGAGCATCAGCTCTGCCGGGAGCTGTCCGTGGTACCAGGCCAGGAATTCTGACACTCAACAGCTCTTTATCTTCCCCTTTAAAAATCTGCACTTACTGCAAAACATGCATTTTATCCTTTTTTTGTTGCAAACAACTCTGTGTGTTTTGGACTGTATAATTTAAACATAAACAGGCAACTTGCTTGACCCCCTCCAATATCAGGTAGTGTGTCACTGCATGGCCCAGAGCCTGGAATTTTTCTTTTATTTCTACAGTGCCACTGGGTTTTACCAACAAGGATATTCCAATCCAGATTTTATTTGCCTCATAAATTCAAAGTTTCCTTTAACAGCTGATATGGAACTTGTGAGAACTCCCACTCTAGAATACAGAAGACAGTAAAAGTAATAAATTAAATGTATTCAGCCCATTTTACCTTGGTCTGGCTCTACCAGCTCCCTTGAAAGACTGACACCATTGAAATGTCCCCTCCACTGCAGTCGGGGGGGGGGGCGGGGAAGCAGAGAAAACAAGTGAAAAAAGTACTAGTCAGCCACAAGAAATTACCTGAGTGTGCACAGCTCCATCCTGAATTCCAGC